TATGTGGTCCGATGTAACTAAAATGGAAGCGTTAGTTGATAAAGACCTTTTGAAGGAAAAAGGGGGAAACTTGCAAGGATGAGAACATTGTGCTGTTAAGTTTAAGGGTGACAGTGTCATGGTGTGGAGGTGCATTATTGTAGAAGGACTAGTAAACACTTCCCAAAATGCATATCATTAGGAAGCAAAAGTTAAGCAGTGTGTAGTTGACTGGTCAACTACACACTGATATCCTGAGACATCAGCCAGGAAGCTACAGCTTAAGCAAAAATGGTTCATGTCTCTTTTTGTGCAGGCTATGTAAATATGTCAGTTGTGTTAGTCTTTTTCATGGTGATAGACTTGTGGTTCACCAGCTTGCACATCAGTATGTGGTTACAGATTAATTAACTGCTAATTTAGGTATATATAAAAAAGAAAAGAAAAACAGACATCCTTTTTCTTATTTTACCAGTTAAAGAAATCAGGTCTTTCATAGCTATTTTTTCCAGATGTTTTCCACAAATTCCTCTAACCTTTAGTCTCATAATTTCCCTCTCTCCTTTTTGTTTTCTTCTCCTCTAACAGTCTCCTCCTCTGTCTCTTCTCCTTTAGGAGTTGCTGTTCAGTGTCTGTGCCCTTAACGTCATCTCCACCATTGTGTGCGCTCTTGCCACCGCAATGTGCTGCATGCAGATGGTGTCGACTGATGTACTGCAGATGGTAAGAGGGATGGAAAGGCGGGTAAAAAAAAAACCCATCCCAACAACTGTTATTTCATATCGTCGAACATACCCGCAACTCATCAGGTAGAGCGCCGTTGTCATCATGTAGCTAACTGCTGTAGCTTGTGATGCAAGAACCCTCCACAGATTTTATGCTGGGAATTTTATGCCTGCTTAAACAAGTTTAAATATTTAAATTGCTGCCTGTGGCTACATGTTTTGTTTGACAACATTCTGCAGAGACTGGAAATCACTAGTCATGCTTTGTTTTGAATGTAGCCTGACAAACCCAGAGTTCTGGGCTCTGTCATGTTGAAACCAAGTGTCACAGCAGAGCACAGATTCAGAGGCATTACTATAAAGAAAACAGACTAAAAGTCGGGATAAAAATGTATTCAGGAACACTTTATGTTATTCAGCAATTGCAAATGATATTGTAAAGGAGCTCCTAATTCAGAACAGGATGTCCTTTAGTGATATAGAAATGTGGGCCATTACTAAGTTTCTGCATTCTTTTAACTGTAAATGTATTTCTATTTCTGCAATCTGCTGGGTAATGAATTGAACTTAATGCATTGTTTGATAACCAGGATTTTGAAAGTGTGTATAACTGAATTGAAAACACGTTTTTAAGAAAGTACCTCAGGATGATGTGTTTTGAAATGGCGCTTTCTAAATTAACTGAACTAAACTGAATTGAATCAGCCCCAGTACACTGCTGTGTATCTATGTTGTGGTTCTTTAAGTAAGCAATGTTCCAGCGTCTCCTTCCCACACAAGTAATCTCATAATGTGATCTCTAGGTTAACCAAGTGACCAGGAGATGTTTGGACATTTCAAAAACTTCTGCTGCACAAATGTCATTATTCCTCAGACACACCTCTCCACTGCTGTAGAAATTAGTGTCTCAGCAATGGGGTGATACTAACTTTACTTTTTCTCATGCTCTGCTAAGCAGACTGTCTGTTGAAAGGTGAAGATATACTCACATCGGCATGCTGAATGCTTGAAGTGGCTGACACGGGGGAGGTTAACATATTTATGTAGCATTTTAGCAAATTATTATTTGAAGTCTGAGAGCACATGCATAAAGCATTGAACTTTCAGCCCGATATAATTATAAATGACTAAGTATGGAGGAAAAGGCAGTGACATCACAGTAAAAAGTAACTTACTTTGTCCTAACACGATAGCAAATTAAGTTGCAAAATGTGCTAGTGATGATGGTTCAGATTGAACATAATCTCTTCATGTTTGGATCCACATAAACAACATTTTTTATTAAGAAGTGGTGCAACAGCAGTTGCGCCATTTTTTTTCTATACTGACATACATTTTGCATTATTGTTCAACAGATGCTCTACGTAGCATCTAAATTATAATGCTGATCACCTTAAATGTTTCAATATTTGAATCCTTGAATATTTTCAAAGAATCCATGACAGCCTAACTAAGCTGGAGCCAACAGTACCCCCACTATACCATAAGATGCTTAGAAAGAAAGTAAATACAGAAATGAAAGGCAGATGAGCATAAAAGGTTTACATCACAAAACCTCCTTTTAGTTTCTTTAATAAACTATCAGTAACCAAAATAATAGATGTGAATATAAATGTAATTGTAGGCTCATCATTTCACTTTGCGGAGTCTGTTAAGTAAAGTCACCAAGAAAAAGAAAAAAAACCTAAGGATGTAATAAGTTATGTAACAAAAGCCTGCTGATGGTTCTTTTTATGTTGCGTTTCAGTTCATGCCGCACAGAGCCCGAGCCTTAAACGCTGAGTGTATGACCCCCCATGGTACCATCCTGCATCAGACCCTGGATTTTGATGAGTTCATTCCTCCGATCCCTCCACCGCCCTACTACCCCCCAGAGTACACCTGCACCCCCTCAATGGATGGACAAAGGTGAGAAGCATAATTCTGCTGCGTAATAGCAACATTTCAATTTATCGGCTTAGAAATTTAGACACTATCCCAGTATGAAAAAAGTGATTAAATCCCAACAGCAATAGCCAAGCTGTGATTGTTCAGTTTTTAGATTCTGGATTAGTAGTAAGTCAATAGATACGCCTTTTTGCTACAAATTCCTTAGTAAATGAAAGTAATGTAAACTTTACCTTTGTTTGCCCACTCAATTAAATATGATCTAATAACAATTAAAAATAAAATGTATGCAAAGATTGTGTTTACCAGTCAAAATCAGTCTAATACATTTAATAGAGGACCTCAGTTGAAATGGGGTGAACAGAGTCCTCTGAGTTCTCAGACATCCTTTCAATATAAATAAAAGCAGGATGCAATTATTTTAAAACACTGGAGATTTGAGTCTGGATGGAGAGCAACAAAGGGAAGCCAAAGCGGAAGTAAAAAACAGTAACTCCTGGGGAACCATTTGGAAACAAATCATGATTGCGGTAAACATGAGTGGAAATTGAGTCCTACAAAAGTAAATATAGAGACATGGCTGTCTCTATATACATCAGCTGTTATAATGTCATTAAAGATTAAGAAAATCCTGAAAAATCTCAATATTGAATGGCTGTGAGGTTTTAGACCTCTTTCAGCTTTGGCATAATTCTATGCTGGGACTAACTTCAATATGAAAAGGAGAGAACATATGACCAAGATCCAGTAATGCCATGCGGGTCTTAGTTTATTTAATATAGGCTAAAATATAGAGACTACAAAAAAAAACATCAGATTAAAATGCATTATTCATCGTGGATAAACATAGATGCCACATGCTCAGGATTTAGGAAGACAAGAACAGTAGATGTTCATCAGAGTTGCAAATGTCTGTATCAGTGATTTAATTGGACTTCATTTATACGCATTTCCTCTTCTGTGAAGGAAGCCTGTTATATGGTGAGTGAGAAAATGGTTTTGGCACAAATTGTCTTGCTATGGATGCAGCATTTTGTTCTGCAGGGTGCTGCTGAATCCCTGTTTTAAAACAGCCAGGCTCTGCAATAAATGAATCCAAATGCTTAAACTCTTCCCCTACAGTCGAGAGTCCAAACGTTTGTCTCCTTATAAAACTAAAATCGCAACAAAAGGAGGCCCAGTAGTGATTTGGAGCTTAAATAATATATGGACAAATAAGCTATACTTTAAAAATACAGTACCAGCTGGATAAAACTAAGTAGATTACAACATAAGTGTATCCAGGTTTCTTTAAATGTTGCAATAAATTTCCAATGAGTATTTATATTTTAAAATACATGATATGCAGCCATATTTACTATGCAAAGTAAATATGCATAGTAAAACACAAACACAAACGGTTTAGCAGATTTTTGAGGTTGTCAAAAACATTGTATCCGTTAGACCTTTCCTTCTCTGCTTTTTTTTTCTTTTTTTTTAGATTTTAAAATGCTGGCAAGCTTTAGGAAATCAGCGTTGAGGTAGATTTACTTTCCTGATTTAATACACGCAGACACTGCTGCTTTTGTAATTGCAGCTGCATTAGCTTTGCTAAACTCTAATAGAATGTGCTAAGTCATCTTAAAACACCATCAATGCAATAAATTTGATTTTGGTATAAAATACCTTCAACTCTCTCATTGTTACCTAAAGTCAAAATATAAATACTTAATCGCTCACCGAGAGAGCTAGAACAATATTCTTAATCTTACCATTTCCAATGTTGTAATTCTTAAATAGGAATCATAATCAGCATTTAAGTCTTTAAAATCCCGACTTTAAACAGTATTTATACATTTCTTATCGCAGTGTGACAATCACTCTGACCACTGGAGAGCTGGAGCATTTCCCCCTATTAAGCTGCTCTGGATGATTAGATGACCCTCCCTCCTTATAACTCCCCCCATTTTCCTCAGTCTTATGAGCTAGAATGCCACAGCTGATGCTATTTGGCTGAAAGCCACATCTATTTGTCAATTATGCCATAAATATCTACAAGGCAGACGAAGCATTTATGGTGTCCCTACTGAAGGCTAGGGATGTGTCATGACATCATAACGGCTCAGATGGTTGGAGGAAACTCAGGCTGTATTTCATGCTCTGCCGCTTTAGCTGAGAATAGGGTTGTAATTAAAAGATATAACGGCACGCTTGGCTGCTTATTCTTAATTGGCTCCATATAAAACAGAGGTGATGTACACTGAACAGGGCGATGATATATATTGCCTGGATTTGAGTGTTTCAGACAAGAGGATGTCTGTCACCCTGTAGTTCTTTATGTTCAATAGATGCTCCTGTTTTGACCAATATTCACGTTTATCAGGCCAGTTAAATGCTTACTAGCGTGAGACCGACTTTGCGTATTATCCATTATCTCTGCATCCGGTTTTTTATTCGTCTGTAAGACTTTTATCTGTTGCTTGTTTCTGTTTTACCTCCTTGGCAGAGGCCTGCATCTGGACTTTCCACACTCCCCCTTCAGCGCCATCTACGGGGTGCCCATAAATAGCCCGGGAACCCTTTATCCAACTGACCTCCCTCCTCCGTATGAGTCTGTGGTGGGCCACACCCCGGCCAGCCAGGTGAGAGATACACATACAACTCTGCCTTCAAGCTACTGTCTACACTGAAAACAAACAAGTAGCAAAACCCACAACTCGGCTCTTTCCTAGAGAATAAATATTTTTCAGGATTTTTTTTTTTTCCCCTTATGTACACATTCAAATAAGCAAATATAGACTTCTCTTGTAATATATTAATACATTACAGATAAACTGTTATTCATAATAAAGTATTTTTCCATTAGGTATGAAATCAATTTGTTTTGTTTTTTTTAAATGGGTGCACAACCTATGTGTTTAAATGACTCAAACGGAAAAAGCGTGCAACTAACTTATGTGGTTTGTCTGATATTTAACAAATTAATCTTCCTTTATAATGTTTGTGTAATTCAGGACCAAAAGATTTTATTCCATTATTTGGTTGCATGTACAAGTTAAGTCAAAAGCAACTATGATGGAAATCTGGTTTGGGAATCAAAAGTAGGATGATTTGTCTGAAATAGAAATACATAAGCAGCAGCAGGGTACGTGACATCTTCAGGGTATAATGATAAAAAAGCAAACATGCTAAAATCAGTCCGGCTACTTAAGGTTTTTTAAATAAAGCTGTTGTCATGTAGCTCTATATACAAAGTTGTTATTTTTCCTGAACTTTCCTTTAAAATGAGAAATGAACGTGCGTTAGCATGTGACAGAGTAACACAGCCCCCTACAGGCCAGGCAGTAGTATTGCGGGTTAGGTGCTTCACAGCTCAATCGAAACAAAGTTCTGCATCCCTGCTTATATGAAACGCCTGCTGCGTTTTTCAACTAATGATTTTGCTTTTTTCCAGGTCACCACCAGTATCGAGCAACAGGCCACTGAGTCCAGTCTGTGTGACAGAAATACCACAGCAGGATTCAGCACACAGGGTAACATCTCCACAGAACTAAGACTGACAAAATACCTGGTTGAATTTAATTTTAATTTTATGTGAAACGTGATCTCATTGTTAATACTATTAAGCAATTTTACTTTTTTTTTTCAATATGTCATTTATGTTAGATTTTTTTTCTTTTCCTTTTATAATTTTTTCATTAATTATAACTTCAGATATATCCATATATTTAAATCATTAATTAAATTATTTATTTATCATTTTTATTGTTTAATAAAAAAATATTTTCAATCACTTTTATGCATGCTTTGGATTGGATTATTATTAAATTTAAGATTTTTTTAAATATTCCATAAAAAATGGCAGAAGAGAGCAATAATTACAAAGGCTTTTAAGTCATGTTGTAGCTAATCTTTTTTACTTGTACTGTATGAAAATGTCAGCCTCAGTTGACAGTGCATCACTGATGGTGTCTGAGGTTGCTGACCAGGACCAGACCTGCTCTTCAGAGGACCTGTGCTCCCTGGAGGTGCAGGGCTCCGACTCGTCTCCGTTTGGCACCCTGCAGACTGCCCCCACTGACGGAAGCTGCACCAGCCTTGAACTCTGCACGCGTCTCTCTACCCGTTGCCACCGCGGCATGCCTCACACCGACGCGCGCCCTAGCGACACGGGATTCAGCGAGTCCTCACACACCCAGGACTCCCTGGAACGCTCACCGGATTGGTCCTCGGAAAACTTTAGCAACCTGGACCAGGAGTATTCTGCGGAGAACACGCATCCCTGCGAGGAACTGAGGGCCGCAATGCACATTTGTGACGAGCTGGCCTCAGCCAAACATTTACCAGAGGAGCCACCAAAGGCCCAGACACATTCCTTGATCAAAGCGAGAATGATGAGCAGGAAGCTCACCTTACCTGTAACTATCCCGCCACCGCCGCAGCCTTGTTCCCCCACCTCAGTGGCCTCCTCTGGTGGAACTTCTGCCATCAGCCCTTTGGCTCCCTCTCCTTCTCCCTCTCCCCCCATCCGGCCACGAGGCCCCAGGCTGTGCTTCAGTGTTTGGTCACCCTCCTCCTCGTCACAGCCCCCCTCTACCTCAGCTCAGAGCGGCCAGTCACCCTCCGAGAGGCCTCGCGCGCTCAGAGCAGCCAGAAGGTATCGCAAACTGGCACGCATCGTCCGTTCCACCAGTGACCCCATCTCCTGCTCCACCACAACAGGAAGTACGTGCAGAAAATATTTTAAAGGACATTTAGAGGAGAAATCAGTAAAGTGATCAGTTAGCTCTGAATTGAGGCTCATAGTAAAGTTTTTTGTTTCCCCCTGCAGGACAGACCTGTGCCTGCACCACTGGAAATAACCCAGCTGCTGCAGGCTCAGCTCGTACTTCTCCAGAACAGGGTAAGAGAGTCCAAATGTTTTATATATCTACTGTTGAAATGACATTCATGCTCTTCAAATTTGGACGTCTTATGATTTTTGCTTTGTTTTATAAAAGAATAAAAGGAAATTGATTTGTGGCATATATTTTTTTCTGCTTTATGTAGAAAAAAGAATTGAAATAATAATAATAATAAAAAAAAACCCACTGCTTACGCCTTTTTTTTAGTATAAGTCAGCTTCATTAACCTTTTTTCTGCTACGTTACTTGATTCAATGTAACAAACTCTACAGGGTTTGACCTTCAATATTAGAAGTTACAGTCATTTTCTGTGCTTTAAGAGTTTTTGCATGATTTCCTCCTCAGAGACGAGAGATGTTTCATCAGAAATAGTCGGAGCTAAGCCGGGCCACGTAGCTGTCACAAAGCAGCAGCAGCAGCAGAAGGAGGGCAGGAAAGTGGACATCCACCTTAAACCTCGATCCCTTCACACGCACCCCTCCCATGAGCGCCCGCACTCACTGGCTGACCTTAAGATGTACAAAGACACAAAAATATTAGTGGCCAAATTCTTGGAGCACTCCAGCAGCAGCAGTCTACCTCCAGAAGTCCAGCAGGTCGTCAACAACATCAAGTGTGTGATCAAGTCAGACGAGAAACACATGGAAGAGGCCATCTTCAGTGCCAATGTCATAGATCAGGTAACATACACCAGTAATATGTGCAAAGCGAGGTTTGATGGCATTATTGTTAAATAAGTACAGAATAATATTCTAAAATAAATCATGAGGAGAGTTTTCTCTACCTCTGAGGATTCAGAATTTAACTGAATCTGACACGGAAATCGACAATTAAGACGTAAAAGGAGTTGATATTCAAAAATGTTATTTTCTATTATTCAGCTATGTCTTCTCACTATTGATTAACTAAAACTAAATAATTAAACTAAATCATATTAACGTACACATTTATTAAACAAGGAATTAATAACTTTGAAATCCCCATTCAAAAGAGCCATAAGGATAACCTTTCATAGTAACTCACTTGCATCATTAAGAACTATATACACACACACATATATATATATATATATATATATATATATATATATATATATATATATATATGTAACCCTTGGCTGTGAGAGTCGAGTCCTCGTTGTTGTGTACTCTTTAAGGTTTTCGTCGGAAGGAAACAAGACTCTGACGCACACTGCGGTTTGGGATCGTGGTTGTGACCGTTTATTCGGACCACCTGACAGCGATGCGGCTTCGCCCTTTAGAATGCAGAGCAGAAACTGCTCGTCAACTTTCATTAACGCAGTTTTTTTTTTCTTTTGATTTACAGATGCAGAATATATATATAAAAAAAGAAGAAAAGAAGACAAAATGATACAAAACTAACAATGATACAAAACTAACTAGCTGAACATTAAAAGTAACATTTTGTTACATTGAGGAGCTGGCGGTCAGTATTGCCTACCTTTAGAATGCAGAGCAGAAACTGGCCGTTGTATTACCAGCGCACACTAACGAATGCCAAGTACGGTGTCCTTCAGAGGACATACTCCACAAAGCTCCACAACACAAAGAGCAAATCCAACACTGACATGCGCCGACACATTCAAGCACTTCCCTACATATATATAAAATTTTTATTTATTTATTTATTTATTTATTTATTTTCCAGAAAATATCAGTGTAGTCATAGCAGGTACATCCAAACTCCATCCTGGATAGCAATCCATGACCTTCTTACTTTGACTACACATACAGTACTATGGAACTATTTTAAGTGACCTCCAAAGATCTGTGAGCTGGTTTTGCTGTGGAGGTTTTCTGTTTGTTTTAAATTAAACTCAGTTGTATGATTGAAGGTCTTGTGAGACTTTAGTTCCCCCAACACATTAAGGTTTCATGGAGGCAATTGCAGCAGAAGCATAAACAGCTTACCAAAGCCTCTCTCTCTTTGTTGTTTGTTGCTAGGTAATGACCCAGCGCATCATTGGCAGTCCAAGAAAACGGGACCACGAGGACATACATCTTCAGAGCTGCGGTGCTTTGAGTTCCTCCCCGTCCATGTGCCGCTCAAAACATCACCCACAGAAAACCAGCTCTTCAACTGACCCACAGGGCTCCCCATCCTCTGAACAAGGCCTTGAGTGCAGAGAAACCATTCTCTGACCACTCGGATCAAGACTCTGAGGGCATTCCAGTGTGCTGATGTCGCCGCCCTATGTGGCAGATGTCTGCGGAGTAATTAATAACTCTCCAGACGTTATGGGATCATTGTTCGCTCAGTGTGGCTGCAGTACAAAGCATCTGAAGTGCTCCTATGCTGCTCATAGTGCCCTGTGAGACCATGCCAAGTCATCAGCAAAAATGGTAGCAAACTCCGTCAGAGCCTGCCAGTGTCTGTAGTGGCTTTTTTTTTTTTTTTTTTTTTTATCCGAAACAAATAAAAGAATGTTCTTCTCCCTCAGGGGACCTTTTCTACTGAATTTCATCTCCTTATGAAAAGAAACTAATAACCCAGCTGGTAAGCCTGGATCCGTGACAGACACCCAGAGAAAAATGTCTGTTGTCTGTATTCCTCTTGTCCTCATGAGAAACAAATGTGTCTGTACAAAACTGTGAACTGAACTGACAGGACGGACACTGCTGGCCATTGTTTGCTGACTTGTGGAAATATTTCTGATAAGGTGGTGAATATTTTGTGGTTCAAAAACATCACAAATGTTGATTATTTAACTTACCTCATTGTGCTACAATTCTTATCAGTGTTACAATAAAATATGCATTTTTAGTTTTGGCTGAGTGTTTTTTTTTTTGCTTACGGAAATCTCTTTTTTCTCTTTCTGTCTTTGTACACTGATGTAATTATCCTTTGTTTTTCTTTTACAAATTATAAAAACTTGTGAATTGTAGGGATGAAAACTGTAGGAATTCTAATAGAATAAAATAGAATTGATCTCCAAGGGGAAATTGCTTATTTGTTGATAAGATACTCCATCAAAAGTGTTAGATATTAGTAAATACAAATATAACCATAAGCAAAATAAAATTTATAAATAAATAATATTAAATAAGTATACAGTATATTTAATAGTGTAAATATTAGCAATTTGACCAAATATATAAACTGTACACACTGTAACTACAATGCAGTGACAGGTTTTATTTAGCATGGTATATAAGCTAACTTAGAAATTGACATGTGGAACTTGTAGTTCATTCTTATATTTTTAAATACTGAATGAACTGGTAGCCTGTCCAGGGTAAAGTTATCTCACTGTTAGATATCCTTCAAAAACATTTAAATTATTACATAAGATATCTTTTTGTGCATTTTCAAATTACTGCAATGACATATTAGAAATACACTTTACTGTCCCAAAAAGGGAAAATTCAGAACCTTCCAGTGCAAAATGCTCTGGACTATATAACTCGCTGTTCCCCATATTACGTTCCCAAAACCCTGACCCACAACCTAAACTTTTATATTATGAGCCGGTTTGTTTTCTTTGGGCATACAAACAAGAAGATAATAGTAAAAACAAGAAAAAAAAAAGAAGAAAATCAGTAATATATATTTAGAATACTTTTGATCATGCCCCTTGTATGGGGGAAACCTCTTTGTGGTTAATTTATAATTAAGGACTCTTATTGTGAAATTAACCGGAAATTGTGCGAAATGCCTCCAGCTAACTTTAATCCTAACATAGGATGTTTGGTAGGCAAAGAATAGTGAGATAGATTGAAAGGTTTCGCCCGAGTTGTATTGTTAAATGCGTTTAGTTGCTATGCGATGGTTTTGTTTAAGGTTGAAGAAAGAAAAGAGTATTTTCTCCGACAGTAGCTGGTGCTTCTCTGGCATCTATGTGGCTGCAGCGCTAGCTAGTGTCAAGATATTAGCTTTACTTTGATATGAGCTAACGCCGACGTCGGGTCAGAAACCAGGATCTCCGTGGGACCTTTCGTACAAAACTGCGAGTTTACAATCCGAGGGGCTCCAAAACGCTCAGTACGTGCCGTGATTTACCAGAAAAAACAATGACGGTGGCCCTGGCTAAAGGAGACAGTTAGCAGGAGCAGTGTGGTGTATGGTGTTCTCGCAGCCCCCTGCCACGGCGCCTCGTTGCAGTCCACGTCGAGTCCCATCTGCTGTTTCACAGGCCACGTCCCCGCGGGCGTAGTTCACAGAGAAGATGCCGAGTGTGCGGAAGGGGACGGAGAGTAAATACGCGTAGAAATGTGAAAAGCCTTCATCGTTTGTGACTGTGTGTGTGCGCGTGTGTGTGTATATGGGTTTGTAGCGTTTGTTTCCGACGGCATGTCACGTACACAGATGTGTTTTACATCGGGATAACACACTCCGAGCTGCGGTAGCGACCTGTAGTGACGTTAGGCTTTTAGAGTGCATGTGTTTGAAATGATTGGGTTTGGTGCAAACCGACGAGGAGGCCGCATGCCGTCCTTCATCCTCGTCTTCCTGATGGTCATCATCGGCGTGCTGGCTTTCAACTACTGGACGGTGTCCAACAAGCACGGACATCTGCTGGACGAACTGGCGGAGATACAGACGCAGGTGAAGCGCTCGGACGCGGCGCGGAGCCGCCTGGAGAAGCGCAACTCGGAGCTGATCGTGCAGGTGGACACGCACAAGAAACAGATCGACCAGAAGGATGGAGACTACAGCATGCTGGAGGGCAAGCTCCAGGCCAGAGAGGGGGCCATCAAGAAGTGTTCAGATGAGAAGGTAAACTTGGATTGTGGCTTTGTTTGATCCACTCTGACTGTCGTGACACGTGTACCAGAGATCTCACTAAAGAACTGTCCACAGAGAGAGTGAAGATGCAGTTTGATTAATAGTAAAAGGATGAATAAATATTTATACCAGAGGTAATCGCAGTGGTAAATCTATTTCAGGAAAAGCCAGGGAACGAGACCACAGTAAAATAGTGTTGGTTTATGGAAATGTTGTGTATTACTCAGAACAAAAGGCTGTCATTTTTTTTTTTTTTTTTTTTTTTTTAAATAAAATGCTTCTAAAAGCGACACAGAATCCTAATTATATTCTGAAAGTAAATCTTAGGTCATTACCTGTGATTATATACTTGTAGAACATAGTTTACAGAAACAGGTACACATGCACAGCAGTGTCTCTTTGACCTCCTGGATCACAGAGATGCTGTGTCGACACTTGGAGGTGAGAGTAGAGGAAACATCGTGAAAGGATAACCTTCAGAGCCGAGAGGGGAATCACACACGTTCAGCCTGTCCTGTTCTCTATGGCTGACTTCACGCTTCTCCTGTAACTCCTTTCGGCTGACGTTCGGATTCTGTCGCACGCAGCAGCAACAACACCAATTTGCAGCTTCATAATATCTCCGTGATGTTGCTCAGAAAAAAGTCTGTACAAACTTGCCCTTGATCAGGATCTCATTCAGTCTCACTGTTGCACCGCCTTAACCGCCGTCTCCCGAGATCTGCTTCACCCGATGTTTTTCCTATATAATCGCCACGTTGCACGCTTAAATGCTTGGCGTCCTCAAGCCCAGCATTTATGAAAGTATCTCATGGAGTCTCTCTCTGTGTGGAAAGGATTGTGGAAGCCATAAGTGAATTGTATCACTCCATATTAGTTTTTGCTTCCTGACTGTGTTGGCATAATGCCATCCACAAAGTGTTCAGGAAAATATGAATTGTTGCTCTTTTGTTAGTCAACCACACATCATCCATGGTTCGCAAGTTGGACACTTTAATTTCACAGATGGAGGTGAAAGTTGTCTGCAACCGGTAAACCGGGATACTTTGCTGATTTCTATCAGAAAGCCACAGAGTTGCTCAGATCATGTACAGTATGTTCATTGTGTGATTTGAGGATGTTGTCAAACCGCTATTTATCTGACTGTAATATTCTGTGCCACTTTACAGTCTGTATGGAAAGTTAGAGCTGGTCGTTTTTGCTGCTAACTAAATGTGAGCATCTGAAGACACAAGAACCAGATGGTTTAGGCGGAAACACCTTTCAGACTAGACTAAAGTCAATATTTGCGTTTAAGTTGTCCTTGGCTACTGCAAATAGCAGATCTTCCCAGCTCCTTTAATGAGGCTGCTATGCGCACAGCCCTGGTCACCAGAGAAGTATAATTTCTAACAAATGGAAACTATACACAAATTTAAGAGATCTATTTTGTTTTCTGATCATTTTTCTATCCCGTACGCTGTTTTAAACCAAACTACATATTTTCCCCTACAGTTTAAAAACTCGTCTAGAAACCCAATTGGTACTGTAAGAAATTTACGTTAAAGGAGATGCGCTTAAAATTATCTCATTATATGGAGAGGAGACGGCGCTCCAGGTCACAGCAGCGTTTCTGTAATTAAGCTGGAAGTTTGCATTGACTAACGTTCCACTTTTTCCTATGTAAACATCCGACCTTTGTTTTCACAGAAGTTGATAAAGCGAGAGGCCTGCAGTTACAGTAATCGTGTGATGTTTTTATTGAAAGTTATTGTTCAGCTGATTCCCTTTTTCTAATTAAGTTCTTTATTACGTGCCTCTTAAAAGTAATTTAATGTCTAGTTTATGCTTGTAAATCTGGTAAGTCATTAAATAAGACTAAACAGTTAGTCTCCAGGTTTTTGGAATAATGTATTTCCTCTCAAAGAACCAAGTGTGGCTCATGTTCAATACAAGACATTCAAGACAAACCTGCTCGTCTTGCTTTAACCTGTTGAGTCCTGAGGGTTTCTGCCTCATAAGCTTTTTATTTGGACAAGCTTTTTATTTGGACAAGTTCTTGCTGTCAAAATGTAACACCTTCCCTAATTCCTGGATATACTTTTTTTTTATTTCTTTTCCTTTTGCCACAGGTGAAGTTGCAAACCGACGTCACGTCCCAAATGGCCGAGGTACAGAGACTTAGAGGTAAGACCAGACCAGCAGAGGGCGCTGTCGAGCTGACGCTGACGTTTGTTGCAGGTCTAATTAGAAATTTACCCCTTTCCAACTTGATTGTGTTTGCATGGTGGTGTCGCTGCAAACAGAGCAGCTGACGGAGCTGAAGCAAGAGTTCATGAAGCAAGAAGAGCAGCTGAGAGAAGTGAAGAAAAATAGCACTAGTTTGGAGAGAAAGCTGGAGTATGAGAGGTATTTGATTCACTTCATATTATCTGCTTCGGTGACTACCTGTTTTTGTGTCTTTTTTAATGCAACTTAAATAAATTGCAGGAAACAGCTTGCCTCTTTTTGAAAAAAAGAAGTTTTTAATCATATTGTGCTTCAAAAGCATGCCGAACAGCTTTAGTATCATGATACTTAAATGTAATGGCTCCTCATGTCAAAGGTTGGTATGTAATGGGCTAAATTAGTAACAGTTTAGCTAATATAGCAGTGAAAACCTCTGTACTGTGTGAAACAAATTTAATTCCATGAAAATTGTATTTGCAATCCCAGTCACATTGTTTGCTTTCAGTGTAGCAATATAAATATGAGCTTCTCCTTTTTCCCCTCGTTTTTATTTGGATAATTCACCTAGACAATGTTAACCTGGCCTTGTTTTGTTTTTGTATGAAATCAGTTTCATAGCATGCTGAAATTATCCAGAATGACGTAGAAGTGTGTGTGTGTGTGTGTGTGTGTGTGTGTGTGTGTGTGTGTGTGTGTTTTCCAGTTTGCAGTGTGGGCGTCAGATTGCACAGCTCAAGGGCGAGTATGAAGAAGCAAAAAAAGCCCTGGAGAAAGAAGTGTCAAGGCTGAGACTGGTTAGTTTTAGTAAACCTTGATTAACAACATTTCAGCTATTC